CGTGTCCCCGCAGCTGGCCGACAGCGAGTTCTCCCCCGTCTTCCGCCTCCTGACCATCTTCGCCTACGGCACCTACGCGGACTACCTGGGTGAGGCCGGGCCCCGGGGGCGGAGGGGGCGCAGCGCGGGTCAGGGGCCCTTTTCCCTCCCGGTGATGCTGGTCCCTGGGTGCAGAAGAGATGCCGGAGCCCCACATCCCTGTAGACCCTCACCCAAACCGCCCCCCGCTGCAGCCACGGCCCGACAGGTGCCTGCTGGCGGTTTGGGCCCCAGACCCCTGGGGTACCCGGCAGTAATTAATAATACTGCTCTTTGTTAGCTCTGTGGGGAATTGCCAAGAGCATCTCGACAAAGACATTTTAGCGGGGCAAGGGGAAGGATTGAGGTACCCACTGGGACGTGCAGGGCGTCGTAAAGACAGCACGGAAGAGCTAGAGAGGAGGACTTGAGGCTGAGGGGAGAAAAGGCTGCTCAGAAAAGGTCCTTCGAGCTGACACTTAATGGGGTGGGCTGGGCAAGATAAAGCATCGCTTGGGGGATTGGTGGGCCGAAGCTTGAAGAAACGGGTGCGGATGCTGGTAAATGGAAAATGAGGCGTAAATTCTTACACCCCGTCCTTTCCCCTGACAATAGCTGAAGCAGCAAACCTCCCTCCCTTGACGGAGGCTCAGAAGAACAAACTGAGGCACCTGTCGGTCGTCACTCTGGCTGCCAAGATCAAGGTACTGGCCCTATTTTGTTTTTTCCCTGAGTTCTCCTTCCACTGGAATGACCCCCTGCTAGTTACCATCGTGTTTCCAACAGTGCATCCCCTATTCAGTGCTGCTGGAGCAGTTGCAGCTGAAGAACGTCAGGCAACTGGAGGACCTCGTGATTGAGGCTGTGTACGCGGATGTGCTGCGAGGGAGCTTGGATCAGCGGAACCAGCGCCTGGAGGTGGATTACAGCATTGGGAGGGACATCCGGAGGGAGGAGCTAAGCACCATCACCCGCACATTGCAGGAGTGGTGAGGAGGAAGCCCCCAATACTAACATCCAAAGAAAGGTTGCAGGGGTGGCCGGTGGCTTCCCCAGATGCTCTGCGTGTCGCTGTGGGGGGGTAGTGTTGTGAGGTGGCCTACTCGAATCCCCTTTCCTGTAGCACAACGGAAAGTAATTCTCCAAAAATTATTTTCCAAGCTCCCCCGTGCGTTGGTGGAGGGGTGATGAGACCGCAGCCACCTTTGCACAGTCCTGAGTACTGTCTGTAGTTCCTAACCTGGCGTCGCTTTGTTACCTCTCCCCCTGCCAGGTCGTAACACCGCTACATTCTTAGGTTGAACTCCCACTCCTACGTCTTCCTTGCCCGGTGTAGCCGTCACCTTCCTCTGTTTGGCCTCTAGAGTTGAAACCTGTCATCTTTCACCTTTCTTCCCCTGCTGTGGAAAGTACCCGGCCTGTTCAGTCCTGTGTCTTCTCTCCAGGTGCCAGGGCTGTGAGGTTGTCCTGTCGGGCATCGAAGAGCAGGTTAGCCGAGCCAACCAACACAAAGAGCAACAGCTGGCGCTTAAACAGCAGATAGAGAGTGAGGTGAGTGGGCCGAGGGGGGAGCAGCCAGTGCCCCTCACTTGAAAATAACCCGAACCAGCACCCTGGGGTTGTTACGGTCCTTGCTCCAGTAAGGCATTACCTTTGCCCTAGGCCAGACCCCCCCTGCCATGGGGTTGTGCCTGAAGGAGAGTCCCAAACTGGCTTCATTCTCCTCTGCAGTGCAGAGGTCTGGAGAGCTGTCAGCTCTCGTTTGACCTGAGCTGGCAGCTCTTAACTCTGGGGCTTGTTTTGGGGGGAAAAAAACAAAGAAAAAAGCCACCACCGTAAAAAAACCCCAAACCAACCAAACTAAAAAGCTTGGGAAACTCCTCGTTTCTTGCTTTTATGCTGTTGCAGGTAGCAAATCTGAAAAAGACCATAAAAGTGACAACAGCTGCCGCTGCAGCAGCCACATCCCAAGACCCGGAACAGCACCTAACAGAGCTCAGGGAGCCAGCTCCTGGCACCAACCAGCGCCAGGCGAGCAAGAAAACTTCCAAAGCCAAAGGGTGAGGAGTCGGGGGGGGACAAACGAACAGAGCTGCTGTCTGTCTGTGTTCAGGAGGTGAGCCGAGGGGAGTCCTGCTTCAGGGCAGGGCTCTGCTCCCTGCAGAGGGGAGTGGTCAGAGCTGCAGTCCCAGCTGAGCTCATCCCTTACTGGCTTGGGAAAAAGAGCTCCGGCTCAGGATCGGGAGTTCCTCAGTTTTCCATGTGTTCTCTTGTGAAGAAATCAGCCACTCTGCCAGCATTTAGAAGAGGAAGTTGGGGATGAGCCTTAGTGTCCCCTCTGATATTTTTTTTCTCTTTCTCTCTCTCCCCAGGCTCCGGGGCAGTGCGAAGATTTGGTCTAAATCAAACTAGTTGGATCTTCCTTCGCAACTGGGAGGGTGAGAGGAAGAGATCTGGGCGATAGAGGAGGGTAGCAAGGGGTCCCAAGTAGGATGCTTCTGAGCTCTTCACCGAGATCCATCTTGCCAACTAATTCTCCTGCATGTTTGTTCTCTTTCCCCATCTCCTTTACCGACTCCCCAGGCAATGCCTCCCTCCTTTTCATCACGGCGTTTCCCACTCTCAGCTTCCAGTTGTGCGCGTTCCTGCTTCCCCCCCCCCCCTCCACCCCCAAGCCCCCGTCGCCACGGCCGTGTGTTTCTCTCCCTCTCTCTCCCTGTCTTTTTGAGAGGTCAATATAAAGAGCCATAAAACTGGGTCAGTCACCTTTGCCACCCGCAGGGCATCACGGAAGCTTGGAAAGGGCACGCTGGTGCTCGGCAATCCTTCCGGCTCTATGA